CATATTTTTAAATGCATAATAATTTGTAACTCACTATTAAGTTTTTTGATGTTTATATCGCATTTAATTAACTAATTTTGATTAGAACGCCAATGTAAAAATAAACCTAGAGTTGTCTACGTATGATCGCAATTTTTCGCCTCAGGGTGAATGGAAACAAAGCCATAAATTTGAATTAAGAAACGGGATACAGACAAAAGGAGTATACGACGGTCGTCGGTGGTACCCAATTGTATCACCAACGGTCATGTAACTAGCAGGGATTGTAGCCCCTGGGCCCCACAAAAATTGCCACTTTTCGCAAAGAAACCAGGGTAAAAAAACACCGCAAATCCGCTTGTCCACTTTCACTCCATTGCATTTCAGTTTAGGAAAATTAGTGTTAGGCACAAAGTAACTAAATCCTGTTGGTACTACTAAAAACGCTCGCGGAACGAAGGATCGGTTCTGAAGCTGCGCCCTAACTCGGTTCGTTATCAGTTCCGAACCGATCCTGATTGGCTACCGCGAATAAAGCTATTATCTTTATCTATTACCAAGTTATTTCACCACTAATCGTGCAAATCATTTCAATAAATAAAGTGTCCGAGGTAAAATACCTGGGATTTAAGCTAGCCAAACAACTTTATTTAAAAAATCTTGTGAGTTTTGCTATCCAAAAGACCCGCAAGACCGTAATATTGTTAAATTCCCTTGTGGCTCCAAATTCATTTCAACCAAAGAAGATTCACCTCAAATCACCCATGTAGGTCTGCTAGACATATGTGGATAATAAGGACGTGGAAAATAGTAGGTTCTAGATGGACTAGAAAACTAAAATTAAACAATATCTGACTGACTGAAACTCGCATTTCGGTCTGGTGGGTGCGAACTGGGAAGCCGAGTTAGTATAGATCGCGGCGGGGAGCAGCTAGTAAGCTGAAACAGTTCAATCGCCAGTGGCATAAAAATCACTACGAGTGATGTTATCGTTTCAAGGTCGAGTGAGATGCGATTTTGGTATCCCATCAGGAAGATTTTTTTCATCAGCGAATGCCTTTCAATTCTCAAAACCGTACCGCCACTTAAAGCATTTTTTTCTCTACTGCTATCGTGAAAAGGCCAGATTCACAAAGGTCTGTAAAGGACCGCTAGGCGCCATTTGAGTCACGGTAAGAAAGAAGGTGGATGTTAACTTGTGATAGTGCTGTGTAGTTCGCGAACGAACTAGTTCAAAAGATCGAATCAGGGAACTGAACTGGACGATCGAATCTTCTAAATTGAAAGAGCGAATCAGTAAGAACTAAACAGAACATGTCATTTCTTCTCACTCTTGAAGGAGAATGAGACCGATGATGCCGATTGAACCGATAGGGCTTCTCTTTACTTCCACGCGGTTTCTTTCAGTTGGCGTTGTTGACTTTGCAGTTCATAG